TAAGTTAGGGTTTCGTTTAAGTCTTAGTTTTATGAATTTTCTTCAATTTTCCTGAATTATTGGTGGAATATATAATTTAATTCTGATGCGTCGAGCCAAAGTTAATTGGGCAAATTTTGAAGATATAAAAGATAAGTGGAATCAAGCTGATGAAGTGCGTGGGCAAAATGTTAATAATTCAGATTCTGCTTTCGCAAATGAAGATATGGCTGGCGGGAAGTTTTGAGGACCTTTTTTTTTGTTCAATGATGTTAGATATATTTTTGATTTTAAAAGATTAAAGGATTGATTTTGGAATAAGAAGTTATGAATTATAAGTGCTTTTTTTTTTCTCATCTTTCTAAGGTGATTAATGGCATGAATGCAAGTTCGTAAAGTCGAACCATGAAAAACTGGGGAAATGAGTAAAGATTTGCGAAGTAGAGGTGTTTATATAAATTATTTGTCTCCTGGTCTTTCTACTCGTGAATTACTTAAAAAAGTAATAAATAAAGTAATTTTTTTTTGATACTTTATCGTTCTATTTTTCAATGTAATTTTTGACAATATATTTCAGCATTTTGAACCATTTTTATCCTTTTTTAGTTGATTTGGTAGTGTTAATATCGCCGTTGATTTATTTCGTCAAATAAGAACTAAATATAAATACATAAAAACTAATAATTAACAATAAATTATATATGGAGGTCAAAAAAATCATTTTATTACTGTTTCCTTCTATTATTAATAAATTTGATTTTCAATCAAACGAAAAAGAATCATTTTTTGATATAGGAAAATTAAAAACAAACATATTAGGAGAAAAAGGAACTGTTCAATTAAATAGCGAAGGGATAGCGAAGTTGTTTGAGGTTAATTATAATCAAGAAGTTAGAGAATTCACTCAACATCATCCTAACTCTAAATTAATAATAGTTAATTATCCTAATAACGAACAACAATTTGATGCTTTAAGTTCTGAATTAGCTAAGGAAGGAAAAAAAATAAGCAACATCATTCTCTTGAATATTTCTAATTACGAACTAATAATGGAAATAAAAAAAGAATATTTAATTTGTCCGCTTTGTGAAAAAATACATAAGCAAGAAGAGATGATTAAAGAGGAAGGAGAAGTTTTTTGCCCTCAAGATAGCGAATATCATTTTTCCCTTGAAGAAATAAAAAAATTTAGTGATTATATTATTGAACGTCATTTGAAAAATACCGAATCAATAATCAAAAAATTTTTGCTTGAAAACAAAGGTTCTGTTTCTTCCATAATTCATTTAGATGTTAACAAAAAAGAAGAAATTTTTAATGGCAAAGTTCAACAAAATCTGTTAAGAATAATAGGAAATTTGTAAAAATTATTACTTTGTGATAATTTGATAATCTTTTGTCTCTAATACCGAAATAACAAAAAGATAAAGAAGCAAAAGAAAAATTAGAAAATTTAAAGCAAATGATATACAAAGAAATGGTAGCTCATAAAGAATTAAAAAAAGAGAATACTAATTTACAAAAAGAAAATAAATTATCTATCTTTGACACTCACTGTCATCTAGCTGATGAAAAATATTGTGAACAGAGTAAGAGCACACGAGAAATTATTCAAAAAGCTGAACGAGCAGGAGTAAAATACATTCTCAACATGGGACAAGATTCTCCTACTAATCATCTGCTAATTAAACAACTGGATAAAATTTCTAATTTATACGGTGCTTTAGGATTACATCCCAATAGCAATGAAGATTTAAACGAAGAAAATTTCATTTGAATAGAAAAACAACTATCTAATAAAAAAATTATTGCTATTGGGGAAATTGGTTTGGATTATTATAAAATTTTTACAGAAATTGAAAAACAAAAATATTGATTCAAAAGACAACTATTGTTAGCTAAAGAACATAATCTACCAGTTTGTTTGCATATTAGAGATCAAGAAAACCAAGATAGTGCTTTTAATGATGCTTATGAAATAGTAAAAGAAATGAGAATAAAAAAAGGTGTTTTGCATTGCTTTTCTGGAGATTGAAAAACAGCCCAAAATTTTATCAATCTAGGTTTCTATATTTCTTTTGCTGGCAATATAACTTATAAAAATGCTAAGTGACAAGAAAGATGAGGAAAAGTTATTGAACAAATTCCAATAGAAAATATGGCAATAGAGACTGACGCTCCTTATTTATCTCCTGAGCCTTTGCGAGGAAAAATTAATTATCCTCAAAATATAATTCACACTCTCAAAAAAATTGCTGAAATTAAAAAAATGAGTGTGGAGGAAATAGGAGAGAAAATTTATTCTAACTCTTTACGTCTGTTTAATCTCACAAATTAGTTTTTTTTTTGATAAAGAGCAATTGAATTAATCCTCAAACAACAAAATTTCACTATCTTTTATACTTCAGCATATCACACGATTAAGATATTAGCTAATTGAGTTAAATTGGTTGGTCCTTTTCTACTAAAACTGAAAAAAGTTCGATTATTTCCTCGGTTAGACCTTGCAAAAGAGCTTTAATTTTTCGTCTTTTTGCTCATCGATTTCTTTGAATTACTCTTTTAAAATTTAGCCGTTAAGAATTAATTTGTGCTTTTGCAAGTTGTCGTTTTTTTATAGAAAGGACATTTTTCTTAATCTTTTTATCAGTTTTTGCAAATATTTTTTCCCAAACTTCTTGGTATTCTTCTACTAGCACAATTTCCAAATTTTGACGAATCTCTTGAGGTATGTCGTCGATGTCTTTTTCGTTAGCCTTAGGAATTATGATGATTTTAAGTTCACTACGATGAGCAGCGATGGATTTTTCTTTCAATCCACCAATTGGCTCAACATGTCCATGTAAAGTAATTTCTCCAGTCATACCTATTTCACTAGGGATAGTTCGTTCAGTAAGAGCCGAAATAATCGCCGAAGTTAAAGCAATGCCGGCACTTGGACCTTCCTTAGGAGTAGCTCCTTCTGGAACATGAATGTGAATACCAATTTGAGAAAAAATTTCGTATTTGATACCAAAACTTTGATGATTAGCTTTAATGTAATTGAGTGCTACTCGAGCTGATTCTTTCATAATATCACCTAAATTACCAGTCAGTTCAAAATCTCCTTCTTTGCGCGGATAACGAGCTACTTCGATTGGTAAAATATCTCCCCCATAACCAGTTCAGGCTAATCCGGTGGCTACTCCTACCCGAGAGTTCTTTTGTTTGGGAGTAAATTCATAATCTTTTTTCTTCAAATAATCAATCAAGATTTTCGAAGTTATTAATATTTTCTTTTTTTTATTTTGTAAAAGTTGCACTATGAATTTTTGAACTATTTTCTGAATTTTTCTATTTAATTCCCGCACTCCCGCTTCTCGAGTATAGTGTTTTATTATTTCGTTAATAGCTTGATCTTCGAAACTAATTTCTTTTGAGTTTAAATTGTATTTTTTTAAACTTTCCGGGATTAAATATTCTTTAGCAATATGAAATTTTTCAGTTTCAGTATAAGATGAAAGTCTGATTATTTCCATTCTGTCTAGTAACGGCAAAGGCAAATCCCTTTCGTCGTTAGCAGTACAAATGAACATTGCTTTTGAAAGATTATAAGGAATCTCTTCGCCCAGATAATTATCAATAAATTTTTTATTTTGATTAGGGTCAAGCATTTCTAATAAGGCATAAAGTGGGTCACCCCGATAATCGGAAGAAATTTTATCGACTTCATCAATCAAAAAGCAAGGATTAATTACTTGCACTTTTTTCATCGCTTGAATAATTCGACCCGGCATGGCTCCAATATAAGTGCGGCGATGTCCTTGTATTTCAGATACATCACGAATGCCTCCCATCGAAACACTAACGAATTTTCGTCCTGTTGCTTCGGCAATTGAGGAAACTAAGGAAGTTTTACCTACTCCTGGAGGACCTACTAAGCAAATTACTTGCCCGAGCGTCTCTTCGGCTTTCTGTTGAGCCGCTAAATATTCAATAATTCTTTCTTTTATTTCGGATAATCCGTAATGTTTTTCATCAAGTTTTTGACGAGCAAACTCCAAATTTTTAATTTCTTTGGTCTTTTGATATCAAGGTAAATTCATTAATCACTCTATATATTGCTTAACAACATTCGATTCTCCATAATTACTTGGCATTGTCTCATAACGATCTATTTCTTCCCTAATAACATTCTTTACATATTCTGGAAAAGGTTCTTTTTCTAGCCTTTTCAGATATTTATTTATTTCGTTATTATTATGACCACGCGATTCTTTTAGTTTCTTTCGAATAGCCTCTGATTTTTTTTGAAGATAATATTCTTCCTGTTCTTTTTTGATTCTTTTTTGAGTTTCTTCGTCCAATTCCTTATCAATTTTTTGTCGATTAGGTAAACTGATTAAAATAGTTAGTCTTTCAGTTAAATTGGATGTAACTAGAAATTTTCATTTTATTTGATTGTCAATTTCTCTACTATTTTGGACGATAAAATCAATAATGCTACTGATATTTCCACTCATCATAGTCATATAGGGTAGTTTGCCAACCGAACTAAATTTGGATTTTTCAAGAATATCAGGAAGATGACGTACAAACTTTTCAGTTAATTCATCTAATTCTTTTTCGTTTAGTTTTTTTTCAAACAGAATTTGGTATTTTCCATACCATATTTCTTCTCTCTTCTCCAAACTAGTTATCTTTATTCTTTCTAAACCTTGTAATTGAACTCCTGCAAGGGAATTAATAATAGATTCTGCATCAATCTTGGACGGAATGTCGAGACTAATTCTAGCTAGAGTCCCAACTGGAGAAGGTTGTTCAGAATTGTCGGGGAACTTTTCCTTATTAGGAACAACTAATAAATGACCATCAAAATTTTTCCAAGCTTGTAAAATTACCTTTTTTCAATAGTAATTATTCTCAAATGAAAGATGGTTGTCACAATTAGGAAACAGAAAAAAGTTGTCCAATAGTAGAATAGGTAATTCAGTCATAATTTATGATGTTTTTATTTTTTTTAAATATAATCAATAATTTGGCGCCCATGGAGAGAATCGAACTCCCAACCTAATGCTTAGAAGGCATTTGCTCTGTCCATTGAGCTACATGGGCTTTTTAATTAGTTTTTAAATAATAATATTTATTTTTTGTCAAAAAAATCGAGAATTATTTTTGCATTTTCAAAAGGACTTTTGTGAGTAGTATCGATTTTTAAATCTTCTGCTCGATAATTATCTAGTTTTCTAATTTTTGGAAGTTGGTCTCTTGCTAAACCGATACTTCTGTCGCCTCTAAGTATTTCTCTTTCTTCAATTGTTTTCATATCGCACTCTACTGCTACATAACAAATAAAATGATTTTTGAAAGAACTAAAATACTCTGCCAAAACTTCTTGATCTCAAATAACCTCGTCAAGAACAATATTGTGACCATCATCAGCCAAATATTTTGAAATTTTTCTAGTTGATTTACCTACTTTTTTTCCGTATCCACCGACTTCAACTTTTGTGATTAGATAACCATCTTTATCAGTCTCAGAAACAAAATTAATTCCCTCGTGAGCTAATTTTCCTCCGGGTAAGTATTTACTAGCCATAACAGCAAAAGAGGAATCAACTCCAAGCAACAATCAAGGTTCATTACTTAAGCATTGAATAGCTTTAACTATCGAAGTTTTACCAACTGAAGAAGGTCCGTTTAGGAGAATGATTTTACTCATATTTTTGATTCTTATATATTATATTATTTTTTTTAGCAAGAGGTGTTTTTTCTGATCGGAAGCAATTACTTAAAAAGATGATTTTACTCACTTTTTCAGAAAAAAGAGATTTATCTCTGATATAAAAAAAAATCAAAAATGATACTTATTTTTTTAAATGTTCTAATATTATAAATAACTTTTTCTTTTTAATAAATTAAAGTTCAGTTTTAACTATTTTTAGAAGAAATAAAAAAATAATGAGAGAGATTTATTAGTACTGGCAATAAGCTATTTTCCCCGTTAAAAGTATCTTCGCCATTAAAGTGCTTGACTTCTGTATTCGGAATGGGCACAGGTATTACCACTTCATTATCGTCACCAGTACATAATAAAAATTCTCTCAAAACCGAACGCAAATTAGAAAATACCAAAAATAAGTCCTCGATAAATTAGTATAGATTAACTAAATATATTACTGCACTTACATTTTCTACCTATCAACCTCCTGGTATTGAAGGTATCTTACTCCCTTGGCGGGATGGGAAATCTTATCTTGAAGTTAGCTTCGCACTTATATGCTTTCAGTGCTTATCTAATCCTGACGTAGCTATCCAGCTGTGCCATTGACATGACAACTGGTGCACCATTGGTCAGTCCACTCTGGTC